GAGACGGATGCCAAATCCACAGATTGACGGCTCTTCTTAAGGGGCTCATTTAGCTCAGAGAGAGAGAGAGAGAGAGAGAGAGAGAGAGAGAGAGAGAGAGAGAGAGAGAGAGAGAGAGAGAGAGAGAGAGAGATGAAGAGAGAGAGAGAGAGAGAGAGAGAAGAGAGAGAGAGAGAGAGAGAGAGAGAGAGAAGAGAGAGAGAGAGAGAGAGAGAGAGAGAGAGAGAGAGAGAGAGAGAGAGAGACAGAGAGAGAGAGAAGAGAGAGAGAGAGAGAGAGAGAGAGATTACATGATATAAATATTGTGCATTTTATTTCTTTATATTCTTATTTTCTCTTTCTCCCTGTGTGTTCATCATTTTCTTGTTCAGTATGGAGGAGTGTTTCTGTATTCATGTTCCTGAAGGATGTGTGTTTGTTTCCACAGTCACAGTTCTCTTCATTGTTTGTGTAATGTCCTGTGATTTGGCAATATAATCATGCCAATAAAGCTATTTTAACTGAATTGAATTTAATCGTATAGAATTGAAAGACAGACAGAACCACAGATAGACACACATACAGAACCATTGACAGGAAGATGTATAGAACCACAGACAGACAGAACCAGACACAATGACAAATGGACAGAATCACAGACAGACTAGGAGACAGACTAACAGACTCCCAAACAGATGTACAAAACCACTGACAGACATACAAAACCTTATAGACAGGCAGATGTTCAGAACCATAAACAGACAGAACCATAGACAAACAAAACCATAAACAGATAGACAGAACCAAAGACAGACAGAAAAACAGACAGAGAATTGTACAGAACCACAGATGGATTGAACCATAGACAGACAGAAAGAGAAACAGACAGACAAAACCACAGACAGCTGTACAGAACTGCAGACAAGACAGACAGACAGACAAAGCCACAGACGGATAGACAGAATCCCAGACAGATGTACGGAATCCCAGACAGACAGATGGAACTACATGCAATTGTACAGAACCTCAGACAGACAGACACACAGCAAGAATCACAGACAGGCATATGTACAGAACCACAGACACACTGACAGACGGAGAGAGAGAGGGAGAGAGAGAGAGGCGCCCACACATTGAGGGTCTGTGGGGGTCTGCTGCTCACTGAATACTGATGAGATCCACCTGCTATTAACACTCCTCCTGCGTTCAGGTGTGTTTGCATCAACACCGCCTCTAACTCATTACTGCGCCAGCACTTAATGACTTTTTAATTAGTATTGATTCACTCAACTTGACTGGCATGTCAAAATATGATGAAGAGTTCATCAAAAACAAGAGGAGTTGGTCCCGTAACATGAGACTGGGGGATCTGACATGAGGATCTCAAACTGCTGTCAGTCATTTGTTTTGAAATGGTGATCTCGATGGTCACGCGAATCAAACTGAATCACGATAGATAGGACCACTGATAGGCCCACCCTTAAGAACTGATAGCTCCGCCCTAAAAAAACAGATAGCCCCGGCCTAAAAAATTGATAGCTCCGCCCTAAAGGACAGATATTACCACCCTGAAGAACTGATAGCTCCGCCCTAAATGACTGATAGCTCCGCTTTAACAAACTGATAGCTCCTCCCTAAAGGACAGACAGCCCCGCCCCTAAACAACTGATAGCTCTGCCCTAAAGGACAGATAGCTCCTCCCTAAAGAACAGATAGCCCCCCCCTAAAGAACTGATAGCTCCTCCCTAAAGGACAGATAGCCCTGCCCCAAAGAACTGATGGCTCCGCCCTAAACTACTGAAAGCTCCACTCTAAAAAACAGATAGCCC